CTGTATTCTGAAACTATTTTAGCCTAGAAGAACAGTCAGAAAATATTTTGAACATTTTCATTTCCCAGAAACAGTCTCAAAGGTAGGAATGATAATATAATTATTATAGGTAATTATATATATGCCTCTATACGTCACGTTATCAAACGTATACAAAAGCCAGTGTGTGTCACGTCACGGTCGAGTTCTCGAACTAAGAGTAAAAGCGAAAATGCATTTATTCAAACAGAATAGTTCGTTTTGTAGTTTAAATATTTCATTTTAAACTTTCATCACATAGACTAACAATGTTAGGTTATACTTTTATTGCTGAACAACGTAACATACAAGCCATTGCTTAAACGCATTGGCTTTTTTCTCTATATTAGAAGTTATTATATTATGTCGTTTTTTTTGCTAGCTTGTCTTATTAAAAAGATGCGCGTGTCTGTCTGTGATTTTTATTTGTAATATTAGGAAATACACCATTAATCTAATGTTTGATACAATTCTTGTGACTATATATTCTGAATGACCAACTTATTCACCCACTCCCATCGCGATGTTGAGAAAAACATTGTTCAATTATCTGGTCGGATCGAATTTACGGAAAATTAACTAACGAACGGAGACGTAACAGTATAAAAATTGTATAAATACAGTTAATAGTAGTAAATAAACTAAAGGGGGGGGGGGGAATATAGAGCAAAAATGCAGGCAACAATGTATGAAAATGAATGAACACGTGTATCGGGTAATATTGTTGAAAGGGATACAACAATAAAAGATATATTAAGCGGAGGACGACGGTTAAACAAAGGTAACAAAAGTGAACAGGCTAGAGAGAAAAAAGAGTGCGAACCTTCGAAGAAAAGGCCGTAGACACTAAATGTCAGAGTGAGAAAGTGTAGGGCGGGGAAATAGAAAGGATAAAGTTAGAGAACTCTTCATTCATCCCAAAGGAATTAACAGTATTGGACGTTATTTAACTTCCAATATGATGCTCGCTACATATCTTGCCAAATACACAGCCTGGGCACTCACACCATGTGTAACATCTGCAGGTTCATTTTTAAAGATTCCTTCAATTTCAAATATACACTAGACCAACTAAATTCTAAAGCCTAACTTTGATGTCGTGTCACACTTCGCCGAAATCCCCGCCAATGAAGCTTGCAATATTGCACTCAACCTCTACATTAATGACCCCAACAAGTTAATGCGCATCCCCAGCACACTTTTTGCTTCTCTCTTAGAATTTACAACGACTAAAACCAACTTCATTTTCAACAACGAACATTTCCTTCAAATAGATGGTTTAAGTATGGTTTCACCCGTTCTTGCCAATATATTTATGACCCAGATCGAAACACACGCCATACATTGTACGCTTCATCCCCCACTATACTGGTACAGATATGTCGATGACACTTATGCTGGTTTCACTTCTACAGAACACAAACTAACTTTCTTTAAACACATAAATTCCATTCATCCAAACATCAAATTTACCATAGAACACGAAAACAATAAACAGTTATCCTTTCTTAACCTCAAAATTATTAGATCGGACACACAGTTTAAAACTAAAATTCACCGTAAGAACACGCGCGCGCACACCGGCCTCTACATCCCCTGGAATTCCGCTCATGACATCACACAAAAAAAATCAATACACTTAAAAACCTCATAAACACAGCCACAAGACTGTTCAACGGACTACATAAATGAAGAAATTAACCACTTAAAGCATTCCTTTATTCACACCAATAAATTCCCACCAGCTATTGTTTAAAAATTCTCCAACATTCCCCACAACAAAACTCAACTTGCGAACAAAATTGATACTAACAAACCCAACAATAGAACATTACACTACAGTTTACCTTTGTTTGCGTATATAAAGTAACTTTACACAGTTTGTTTGTTCTTGTGTAAACAAAATTACTTACAATTGTTTGTGTAAATTAAGTTACTTTGCAGTTTTTGTTTAATCTAAAACTACTTAACGTAGCTAAGTCTTGGAAATGTTGTACTCCAAAGAGTACAACACGAGTACAAGACCTATTTCTGTTGTCTAAATCTCCTTATGAATGCCTGAATTAATGTTATGCAATTTTCGTTTACACTTTTCTAATTTTGTTGCCAGGATTGTGATTTAGCTGTTTTTATTAAAAAAAAACAACTAAAAACAAAAAAAACATACTTTCTTATATTGCTGCCTTTGTAATTGAGACGTGTTTAATGTGTGGATTTTATAAATTGATAGGATTTCAATCAGATTGTTTTTATTTATTCAGAATCATTCTCTAGATACTATGACAATTAATATTTTTTAATCTAAAGATATTTACGTTAGTGTTTGATTTTTTTTCCAGGTATTCGTTTGACCGCGTCAGTCATGGTTCCCCACTGTCCTCTCGACGAATTCCTTACAGGTAAAAACCTTGCTCAGTCCACTTGAATAACTTGATGTGAATTTATTTACTGAACAGCTTTTTGTTTGTGATGTGAATCACAGAAAAGAACTGTGACCGCCATAGCTCCAAGAAGAAACAACCAAGAAACCTGAAATTTTGTATCCATACTAAGTGAACCCTTGATAATCTGATTGATCAAATCTTGTTAGCACTGATGAATATAAATTAAATTATGATTTAAATTACAATTTAGATCGAATTTTGTCTCTGATTCAAATCTCGAACACGAGCCCCCAATTTATTATATTACGTATTACAATTTCAAATAGCCTGAAATTAAATTAACTGATAATTTAAATTTAGTAGTTAAATTACACTTTGGATTTAGTAGTTAAGTAAAAGCCGATATATAGTCAGTTTATGATATTTGCCAACAAGATTGATACATACAGTTTTCTTTTTTAACAAAACTACGTTTTAATATACTCACAAAAATACAATTTACAATAACAGTTATTACAAATAGTTATTACAAACAATGATTTATAAACAAAAGTTTCACAAACTTACAAGCAATATAAAATCTACTTTCTAGTCTGGAACTTCTTTGATATCTTATTGAGGGTTCACGATGAGCGAGTTAATTAGGAGTTGACGTAGGTACGATTCGCTTAACGGGAAGCTAGCTAGCTATGTCCTTCGTTATTTACCAGCCACACACGCAGAGTTTTCGTAAAAATACTAATGCCCGATGAGAATCCACTGAAGTTAAATGATTTGTAATGTTCGAACTTTGTAAAGGTTCCTGGTCAAATGTATGAAGTTTTCCGATTGATAAGCGTAATAACAATCGGAGTTATAGCTTCCAAAATTTATAGCAAACTAGTAATAGATACTCCTTTTTTTTTTTTTGGCATGTCGCGTTGCTTATATTTATAAGCGTCTGGAGACTTTCTAGAAATTTCAGTTTTATGTAACAACTGACGCTAACACAAGCGTTTACATACACGCATATATTGTTGATTCTTACTCTCGAGAATCTTCTACAACTTTGGAGAATAGGCAGGAGTTTCGCAGTACATATTTAACAGTATAAGCTATGTATGTTTCTAAATATAAATTTAACCTAAACAAACGTTGGTATTAAATATATAATAAAAATTCTTTACAATTGTCACAAATGTATATGACATGACTACATTACACTGTCACAATGAACTTGTCTAATGGATGAATCATTTTGGGGCATTGAAGTTCTTTGTTCCATTTTTTGTCAAAACAGAAATTAATTTTATGTTATTTGCGAGGATACGTAAAAAAAATAAACAACACATTTTCGTAAAATTTTACAGCAGACCCAAACGAAGCTACAGTACTGCTAAGTCCCACACGAGTAAACCTGAAATCAGTTCAGTGAAATCTTCCAGACCTGCTTCCATGGAGACCACTGAGGAAAGCCTTTCAGGAACTCCCCCTGGTTCTCCAGGTATGCATCAAGCCAAATGGAAGTCACGCCTGAACACAATCAGGAATGGTTTTCTCGGAAGTCCGCGTTTCCACAGAAGAAAACTACGAAGTAAGCTAGCTTATCAAAATTCTAGTTTGTGTAAACGACGAGTTGAATCTGGTGTGTGATATTTGTGTGTGAGAACATTATTCTTGTAATATCTATCTTCACAAATTTTTTTTCTCTTCCTTCTAGCGCCATCTGCTTCTGACGATACAGGATCGGATTCCTCGCCAGAGTAAGTTTACGTTTACTACCGCCAGAGTAAGTTTACGTTTACTACCGCCAGAGTAAGTTTACGTTTACTACCGCCAGAGTAAGTTTATGTTTACTACCGCCAGAGTAAGTTTACGTTTACTACCGCCAGAGTAAGTTTATGTTTACTACCGCCAGAGTAAGTTTACGTTTACTACCGCCAGAGTAAGTTTACGTTTACTACCGCCAGAGTAAGTTTATGTTTACTACCGCCAGAGTAAGTTTATGTTTACTACCGTCTAGCTGTGCATCTTCTGCGAAAGCAAAACGGTGCACTCGACATTCTTCCAGATGTCTCTGGAAACAAATAATATAAAATTAGCAAACAACTGCAGCATTGGTGTACAACATTCACATTTCAGCAAACACGGGTTTGTCATTGGTGTACAACATTCACATTTCAGCAAACACGGGTTTGTCATTGGTTTACAACATTCACATTTCAGCAAACACGGGTTTGTGTTTTAAAAAAATGTTTTGAAACGGGAAGCTGGTTATAAAGCAGACTAGAAGTTCATAAATTGTAGAAACGGCTGATATAAGAAATCAAAACTTGTATTACATAATAGCAATATATATATACATATATATAGCTACGTTAAAAATGTCATTATAACCGAGTCCAAGTAGGCTTAGCAACTCGAGAAATTTCTACAACAAGTTTACATTTGTGTCAATCCAATTTTTTGTTCGTCCTAGCCAAACTAGGGTTGGAAAGAAATTATAGTTTTTCTACTATCTATCTGTGCTAGTACATTCCATGGGGAGTGGGGGGGGGGGCTCCCATTCAAGATGAACAAACAAAGGTGAAATGTCTAGTTCAACGTGACGCTTATGATGAAAGCTTTGGAGAATTAATTTTCAGAAATAACTAAGACAGAACAACATTTTGAAAGACTTTCGTCTCTTGTCTTCAGATCAGCTTGCACAATCCAATCACGGTGTTAATTTAGGTTAAAATATATTTCGTTCCCCGAAGGAGAAAGATATATAACCAGGGGCGGTCAGAAACTTTTGTTTCTCTTCACTCCACATTAAGTGGCGCTTGACTTTTAAGGGTTTTAAGGCTTGAGTGGGTGAAAAGTGATAATGACAATATTACTTTCTGCTAGTGATGATGCCATAAATAGGGTGAGCTGTGAGGAGACATGGGGGAGTAAGAAGGAGACCTTTGTTGAATTGTTTGACTTCAGGACATTTCTATCGGCGAAACACGTGCGTCTATTGATCCACGTGGCTTAAGATTGCGTGAGGCGTGACGTCAGGCTGTCGGTGAGATGAGTACGTCCGTTCCTCTTTAAAATACTGAAAATATGTTGTTTTTAAAATTATTGGTTAAATTTAAACCTAGAATATAACTTAACATTAAATGAGATGGTCCTTTTCAGGGCTGGGATAAAAAAAATCCAAAGCTTGATGGAAATTATGCTGTGGGGGGAATTGGAGCACCCCCTAGGAAACCCAATTTCACGGCTAGGGCGCCGAATAAAATGCCCTGACCGTGCCCGGAAGAAGCTGTGGATAAAGAAATTCAATGAAACTTATTAATGGTGTACGGCTGCATGTGACGATTGTAGGCTAGAAAAGGCTGGATGAGTTAAGAGTCGACGTGAAGCTAGGTAGATCCTGGGTTTTTTGCTTTTTTTTTGGACTTTGAGGGATCAGGCGTAGGAACTGCGTCTTTCGTAAGAAGATGTTGCAAGGCTTGGTGGAGGCTTCGGTCTGTT